GGTCTGTGCATGACAGGGGGGGGCGCCCCAACTCCCCAATCAGCCCTGCTCTGAGCCCGACCAGGGGCTGCACCTAGGGATTGGGCCTGCCCTCTGCCACTGGGAGCAGGCCTAAGCCAGCAGGTCGTTATCTCCCGAGGGGTCCCAGACTGCGAGAGGGCACAGGCCAGGCTGAGGGACCCGCCCCCGCCGCCGAGTGCACAAATTTTTGTGCACCGGGCCTCTAGTCCTATATAATAAAAGCATAATATGCTAATTAGACCGGACATCCTTCTGGATGACCTTCTGGATGAAGCTGTGGCTGTGAGGGCAGAGGCAGCCGCTGTGGGGGTTGGGGGGCTTAGCCCCTTGCACGAATTTCGTGCACCGAGCCTCTAGTATTGAATAAAAATAAAGTTTTTCAACAAACAGGATCTTTACAGGAAGTGTGTGTGTGTGTGTGTGTGTGTCTACCTGGAGGAAAGGAATGGCTCTGAGGCAACGGTGCCAAGACCTTCTCTGGAACTGTTTCCCTCCACCCCACTCAGAAATACTCAGAAGCACACTCATTCAGACCTCCACCTGCCCACCCAGACACACTCACACACTCCCGAATATCCGGAGTCACGTATACGCACAGCACACCCATTCACATGCACAGAGAAATATACATATTCGTGCAGTCACATGCCTCCACTCTGTCTAGGTGTCTTAAAACCCTCTTTGTGTCCATCTGACCTTGAAAATGGGGGATGAAAATGAGAAAATAGGCGTAGGGAATTTTTCCTGTAAGTCTAGTGCCTTCCAAGAGAAATATAATATGAACCACATTTTTATTTAAAAGTTTCTAACAGCCATATTAAAAAGATAAAAAGAGACAGGCTAAATTGATTTTAATAACATATTTTATTCAACATAATATACCCAAAATATTATCTCTTCAACGTATGGGTGTTATTGTAATATTATTGATATATGTCGCCTTTTGGGAGGTACTAAGTTTCAAAATCAAATGTATGTTTACACGTAAGGTGCCTTTCCATTTACAGGGGCCACATTCAGCTGCTTAATGGCTGCCTTGTTGGACAGCACTGGTCTAGAGTGTTAGAGGTTTCTCTCTTTGGAAAAAGGCAAGGTTTTCTGACAATGTGCAGGAAGTGTGATGTTCTCTGTTTAAAATACGTGGTTAAATTCACGAGAGCTTTGGAATGGTCCCCCAAGATCTGGTGAGGATAACGTTCTCCTTCCTAAACTGTTGCCAACCTTGTCTGCTCCAGGAAGGTCGACTTAGCAGCGGTGAAATGCCTGCTCCTTGCTGGTGGTAGAAAGCAGCCAGCCATTGAGCGATTTGCCCCCCACCCGCCACCCCCGTGTGATGTAATAGCCACAGAGGAGACAGACCAAAGGAGAGCTGGCTCTGATTGATGGACAGGTGCAGGGGGAGGGCCTCAGACTTGCACACTCCCCTGGCTCAGGTGGCCTAAGCTGGGCTCCAGCCCTCTGGAAGCTGAGAAAAGGCAGCTGCGATTGGAAGCCCGCCAATCATGCCACAGTGGCTTGAGAGGGCTCCATGAGGTTGCCTGACCAGCCCCTTTCATGGGGTAACAGCTTTCTTTTCCTTAAAGAAAGAGAACGGGTCATAATCAGGGATTGGTTTAAGATGGGCACATGATCCAGGCCCAACCAATCAGAGTGTAAGATTTGGCACAAGGGCAGACAAATGAGTAGACTCAATCAATGAAACTCAGACCTGGAACTTTTGTTGGGTTAACCAAGGAAAAAGGGTATCCTCTCTTTCCTCTCTCCACAGGGCTGTCACACTGGGAGAGTGTATAGCCAAGAGCTGTGGCAGGGGAGAACCTGGCTGAGAGCGAAACTCTAGAACAGCGGTTCTCAACCTGTGGGTGGTGACCCCTTTGGGGGTCGAAGGACCCTTTCACAGGGGTCGCCTAAATACATCCTGCATATCAGATATTTGCTTTACGATTCATAACAGTAGCAACATTACAGTTATGAAGTAGCAACGGAAATAATTTTATGGTTGGGTCACAACATGAGGAACTGTATTAAAGGGTTGCGGCATTAGGAAGGTTGAGAACCACTGCTCTAGAGGGAGTTGAGTCCTGGAGACATTATTTGAGTCTCTGGGTTCAACCTGAACCTGTTGTTCCAGCCCTGGACCTCTCAGTTACATAATCCAGAACCTTCCTTTCACTTTTGCTCAAGTTAGTTTGATGTTTGGTTGGGATTCGGGTTGGGTTGGGTTTGAGGTTTGAACTTTAAATTTGGTTTAGGCTGGAGGTTGAGGTTCATTTAGGATTGAGGTTAAGATTAGGTCGGGTTGGGGTTGAGCTCTGGTTTGGGTTAGGACTGGGGCTGGCTTGACCTTCCCTCCAGGTCAGAATCAGAGAGGCCAATGAGGCTGCTGCTGGGCTGTATGTTAAAGTCCTTACTCAGGGAGCTGACAACATCCTGGATCTTCTCATAGGTGGCTTCGTCCACGGACACAGCAATTCGACCCACACCAGCAGCCCCAGGATAGGGAGGTGGGGAAGCGAGAGAGCCTTCATCCTGCAAGGGCTGGGTCACCCGCTGTCCATCTGGGAGGGTCAGGCCCCCTGAACATGGCACTTATCCTGCCAGCAGACGCAGTAAGCCAAATCTTGGACACAAATTCCATGCCGCTGACATATCTCTCTCTTTAAGGCTTCTGTGCGTAGGGTTTCCTGTCTTAGGTAATATGTCCCTTGGCCCCCTAGCCCTCCCTGCCCACATCCGGGGCCAAGAGGAAGCCCTTGGAGCAGATTGCAGGGACCAGGGTGGGAGCTGTCACTCTCCCTGCCACAGCCGCCCTCTTCGAGAACTCTCCCTCCCCACATCTGGTTGGGCCTGGTCCAGGAGGTAGTGCTTGGGGATGATTCCAGAAGCCACAGTCCAAGGGACAGGCAGAGAAACGAGTGAGCATGTAGGGGTGGGATTGCAAACACGACCAGAGAAACGTCCCAGTGTGAGACTTGCAGACTGTGTTCATGCCCAAGTGTCCATCCGCAGGGAATGGGTAAAGGAAACTGCGGTTTGTTTCCTCAGTAGAACAGTCTACAACGGCCCGTGGGCAAATCCAGCCCACCATCTATTTTCATATGACCTGTTATAGGACAGCAAAAAGCTAGGAAAATTTCAGGGCCGGAGGAATAGGGAAACTGAGACAAGAAAATTAAACAAGGCCGAGCAGTTAGGCAGCCTGCAACCGGCTTGTAGACAGCAAGCCCTTATCTTCCCCCAGCCAGGGAGAGGAGGGGGAGGGGAGGGGGAGAAGGGAAGGAACCTTCATGCAACTGGAGAATACACAGCTTAAAGCGCCCTGAAACTAACAGACGGGGTGGGGAGGGAAGGCTTATCTGTCCCACTGTTTGAAGTATCAGGGGTGGGGAACATCAGGCCCGCGGGCCGTATAAGGCCCTGGAATCATTTGGTCTGGCCCTGTCAAGGCATCAGGGGTGAGTTCATTATAGGTTTGACCAGATACACCAGGCTATTTTTTAAGTTGGTAATTTTGTATGGCTGGAGAAAGCTGTTATAAATACCCAAATGGCCCTTGGCAGAGAAGAGGTTCCCCACCCCTGGAACAGAGACGCCAGCAGTTTCGGGATTTAATTGCCAGGTGCTTCTCATAAATTCTGGGGAAGCCGTAACAAAGTAAAAGGGAGAGCGAGCTTCAGGGTTGACCTGTACCGGGAGAGCCAGCAGAGGGATTTTAGAGTTTATTCTGCTTTCTGTCTCTAGAACTTCCATTTTAGGTCACATTTTGGATAACCATTCATC